TCTCCACTGAATTAAAAAACGGAGTGGAAAGTTACTAGAAATTGATGATGCTACAAACAAAATTACAAGCAATTATATATGCATGCATACTAGTATGGCAGCATGTATAAACGTGGCTGTATAACCAGTGTGATCCTGCAATCTGTACACATGGAAAAATAAGAATTCATACCCCATTTGAATCAAATGTATGATATGTCAAGATCATTGTAATGTTTTGAGCAACTAATAAAAATAAATATATAAATAAATAAAATAAATGGTGAAACTAACTGAATCACAACACTCTTGTGATGAAGGTAATAATTGATATAAAACAAGAAGAAATCATAAAATTTTAGGTAAGTTTGATAGTGTGAAGGATACTCTGCACATTGACCTAAGGTTTGTATAACATTATTAAACGTTTTTTTCTAGACAAATCTCTTCATGTTTGTCATTTTAAAGTCACCATTTAGACATTTGTAATCAAATTAGAAAATACAATTGAACCCTCCAAATTCTGATATTTCAAAACTTTTAGTAATGCCCACTTTTGGAAATAAAGATTGCAAACAGGAAGACTGAAAAATTATGCCTTAGAAAAGCAAGGGAAGATCTGGATAAAATATATAATGAGAGTTCAAACTGTGTAAAGGATTTATATTGAAGTTCTATAATTGGCTTTGTGATATATCTTCTTGTGAGAGAATTTTTTGAAAGAACTCTTATTTTTAATAGGACAAATATATATTCTGTAACAGATTGGAATGAGATGGAGAAAGCCTATAAGTTTGCTGAATCTAAATTAGGCAATGCTTTCAGATTTGCTAAATAAAATTCTCTGTGCAATGACAAAAGGACAGTATCTATAAAAAATACTCAGGTTGATATATCTACACATTTTAATGAGGAAAAAAAAGAAAGAGTAGAAAATATTTTACATTTAGTAATTTTGCTATGTATTTGTCTACTTCTGCACTTGTAAAATGAGCATTTCTTGGTTAAAAATTATACAGAATATTTAGAATAATTTATGAAATTTCAAATTAATCTACTAAAATGTAATGCCTCTTTCAAAAGAATCATTGGTATTTTATGAATACATTTAAATAATAACTTATCAAAAATGATCTTTAGAACTCATAACTACAATGTTATGTTATTATAGTCATTCATAGGTAATTGAATTTTATATTACTAGGAGCAAATGCCAAAATACTATTTTCAGTGTTCACATACTTGGTATAAAGAAGTATTTAATATCTCTTTAATAAGAGSGTGTATGTCTTGGTATGTGTATATGTATTGTTTACAGGAAGAAATTTTATTTTTAAGGTAATTTTTGAGCAGTGCTCTGCTATCCACCCAATAATATAAACAAAATTTCAATGAACAAATGTCATTCAGAGATGCTGTCACTTGAATTATTTTGGTTATCTTCTCATACTCTTGAAAATATCTCAGCTTGAATAGCCAGTTGTCTTACTTCCCTTTCCATGACTCAATTCTCATTTCTGTCACCTTCACTGAGCTCTCATTTAGAGAAGGGTTTTATTTCAACTGAAGTGCCCACAAATGGTTCTATGGAATAGTGCATGAGAGAGTTCTGATGAATATTCAAATGAGTCACAAAGAATCTTACATTCTATCTTCCCTTTGCAAAGAAACCCTGTTGAGTCCCATTTGTGAAATCACTAAGGGGTGTTAAAAGGAAGGAGGGCTTCCCTAGACCAAGGGGACAGGCTATTTCACCTGGTTAGAAAAGCTCACTGCAGGGGGTCGCTTGGTCGCCATGTGAATCTTTCAGTCGTTTCTAGACTCACATTCTATTCTCCCCTTCTAACTGAATCAATAGCGTAAATTTTACATGATCTTGGGGAAGCTATTATTTCAAGTGATTTTGAAATCTGACATTCTAAAAGATTCAGTTTGGATTTTAGCCCTTCCAAGCCTTATAGCTGGAGGAGTAATTTTCAATTCAGAAGCTGAACAGAGACCTAAGCACATATGTATGTAATATCAGAAGCAAATTACTGCACCCAGGGTACTTAAACTTGATCATCTCTGGTCCTTGTCAGGGTTCCCTAGGCAAACAGAACTTGAAGCAAAGCTTATGTGTTAAAGCCCTGCATGATCCCAGAAAGGGAGAGATGTAGGAAAGGGAGGGAGAAAGCACTGCTGGAAGTATTACTGTCCCACTGAAGATTTACAGTAAGCAGAACTGTTTGTTCTGACCAGGATAAGACTTAATGGGAGCATCTGAACTGCATTTCAGAATGATCAGTCTGAGGGGAGTAAGGAAGAATTTATCCTCTGGCTCCTCCAGCTTCACTTGGAGTGTTCTCCCCTAACCACAAGCATAGATTACAAATTGGCCTCTCCAAAGTCACTGGGAATCCAGGATAGCATGCAGGCTCCTTGCTGTCAGTCATGCAGGCTCATTATCAATCAAATGATATGTGAGGGATATATAGTACATAAATCTGTGGTGCAATGGAAATAATAGCATGGTTCTTTTTTTCATAAAAACAATGCAAAACTTTGCTAAGATTTCTCTGGGCAAATAAGTGGGAGTCTCAAATAAACATAGATATCATGAGTTTTAAAGGGAGTAGCCACCTAGTCTTTCAGAGGAGCTTCCTTCTTGGCCATTGCAATTTAGAAGATCACATGTGATCACTTGAAAACAAACAGTATTGATCTAATATTTTCTAAGTATTGAATCTTAAAATTAAACAGATTTTTTGTCTTTAAACCACGTTAGTTCAATAACCAAACTTTCTTCCAATGTCCCAGGTCTTTGTTGCTCACAGTCACTGTGGTAGAGGGCTAAAGGTCAGAAATTTTCCAAATTTAATTTTAAAGCATCACATAATCTTGATATGACAGCATGTTTTAGTTTTTCACAAGCTGATACTGTTAAAAGTAATTTTAAATTGCCTTCCAAAATACAGAATTCAGAATGAGTTCATTGTAAATGCTCATTATGCTTAGTATTTATAGGTTTTTATGAAGTAACAATATTAGAGCAAAATAAAATGTATAACCAAATAGAAAAGTTTTTTAAAAGGGTAGCATAAGAATATGTACTCCCTTGTCTGATTCAAGTACTGTGAAGCCAATGCTTTGGAGCTCCATCTAAAATGAGCCATGTGGATTTGAAAGTAAATGACAACCCTTCCTTATTAATCTTCTTTTTCATGGCAGTTTTTGTACTTTGCATTTACTGCCTATTCAAATTCTTTGATGAGAAATGCAGACTACAGCAATGTGTCTAATGTGTTGACTAAAAATAACCCTCCACTATATTTTAGACAGCTATAAAGGCTAGACTGTATTATCTTTTGGAAGATCAGAACAAAGACCCTTTCAGTTCAGGAAGAATGGGTGAAAATTGCTCTAATTAGTTAATTTTAATCTTTGAGAGGAATATAAATTGTCTACATATTATAAGTGGCCAATTTTTTCATGATTACTTTTTATTTCTAGGTATTGTACCCAACCACTTGGCTTGCCCCTAGTCAAATTTACTTTTCATCTTTCTCTTAAATTAGATCATGTACAAAATTTGCTGAGGTTTAAATATAAGTGACAATGAGCTCAGAATGTGTCGTAAAACCTCCTTCCTTTACTTAACTTTTTGAGAACAACTTTAACTCCAGTTACTCAATACATATCAAATTCTTCCCAGTTGCTTCTTTCACTTATTCCCCATTTTTCTATAAATATGCTAACTCACTCTCTCCTTTCTTACCTCTTCATTTGCCCCCTGCCCCCACCAATCAATCCTACTTCAGTTTATTTGTTGTGTTCTCTTTTGATTAAAGCCATTATATTTGATTTAATTTCAAGATTTCCTCTGTATCCTGTCCTTCATTTTTGTTACCAAGAAGACTTTTCTAAAATGCAAATCTTAGAATCTCTGTCTTTGTAAAATCCAGACAATTATTCTTAAAGCACAATTGTTCATATTAATATTGTCTTCCAGTGTGATGGTCAATTTTATTTATCAGGTTAGCTGGGCCACAGTTTCCAGATACATGGACTAATGTTATTTTTTATATATTGGTGAAAGTATTTCACGTATAAAAAACATTTATATTTAAATGCCAAATGCCAAGTGCCAATGTCTCGGCTTGGCACAGAATCACGAGCCACCACACAGCTTTGTAGGTTCAAACAGCAATTCTTTATTCCCGATCTCACACCAGCCTCCACACACGTTCAGGGGCAATTCCAATATGTCCGATCCC